CCATGCTGTAATCCCTTCTCCTCCATTCTCCTCTCAGGATCTTGGAAACGCCTGCACACGCGCCTGGCATGAGTTTAAGCCACAGGGTCTGAGACTCGAACCGCGGTCGACTACATGGGAGTCCAGCGACATACCCATTACGCTAACTGCTGGTCCCTCCACCCAATGTGTTTTTCAAGTTACCGGGTCTGGGACTTGAACTGTTGGCCATGTGGGATCCCAGATGCCTTAATCACCATGCCATGGACTGGCCTAGACTATGTTTATGTAGGTTATATCTATCAATATTTACCCTATCAGAAATAACCCTTCCAAATTTAAATACTTACTTAAAAATAATAAACCCACTATATATCAACATAATAACATATTTTTATTAAAAATTATGTTTTCAAAAATAAAATTAGGGAGAAGAGTGACATTACTTTGCATTTTTTGCAAATCTCCTCAATGTTAGGTTTAACAGAATTCAGTTACATTCTTATGAGGGACTTCGAAAAGTTTATGGAAAATAGAATTAAAGTATGAGTTTATTTTAATGCAAAATTTTTCAAATCCTGGGGGTCAGCAGGTGGCAATGCTGAAATCCCACATAGCTGATCATGGTTCAAATCCCGGACCTGGTGGCTTCCTCATTCACTTTCTCTCTCTCTCTCTCCCTCCCTCTCTTTCTCACTCTATGTCTCTCTCTGTTCAAGTTAAAAATAAAAGAATAAATAAATACAATTAAATCTTAATTTTTTTTCAAATTCATACATAGTTTTTTCATAATATACATTTTCTATGAACGTTATGAAGACCCTCGTGTCTGTTTCTGAACTCAGTCTGTTGTGATATGTTGATTTGGTTGAAATATATGAAGAAAATCCAGCCTCACACAAATGTGTAGTTGGAGGAGGGCAGACTATTTTAATAGCATCTTCAGATTATTATAAATATTCTTCTTCTTTTTTTTGGAGAATTTTTTGCTATAGGGCATGTGCACACTCCAGAAAGACAGAGAGAGAGACAGAGAGACAGAAAGCAAGAAAGCACCCCCCCAGAGGGGATGGCCATGCCACATTCCCTTCTCCTCCATTCTCCTCTTGGGATCTTGGGCACGCACGCACACGTACCCGGCGTGAGTTTAAGCCACTGGGTCCGGGACTTGAACTGCGGTTGACTAAATGGGAGTCCAGCGGCATAGCCATTAGGTCAACTGCTGGTCCCAATATTCTTCTTTCATATACACCAAAACTCAACAAGTGGTAGTTTTTTAAAGGTTAGTTGTGATGTGGAATATGAAGTCATATCAATTTTTTAAAAATAATTATTGAATTCATTCTTCTTATTATGGTTATTGTTATTATTTTAAGAGAGATTTTTGCTATAGGATGCATACACTCACCAGAGGGACAGAGAGAGACAGAAAGACAGAAAGGCAGAAAGAGAGAAATCATTCCTCGGGAGGATGGTCACATCATAATACATTCTCCTCCATTTTCTTCTCAGGATTTTGGGTACACACCTGGTATGAATTTTAAGCCACCAGGTCCAGGACTTGAACCATGGCTGGCAATATGGGAGTCCAGTGACATAACCATTATGCCATCTGCTGGTCCCATTATTATTATTATTATTTTTGGAGAGATTTTCGCTATAGGGCGTGTGCGCTTGCCAGACAGACAGAGAGAGACATAGAGACAGAAAGCGAGAAATCACCCCCCAGGGGGATGGTCACGCCACAATCCCTTCTCCTCCATTCTCCTGTCAGGATCTTGGGCACGCACGTACATGCGCCCAGTGTGAGTTTTAAGCCACCGGGTCCGGGACGCGAACCGCGGTCGACTACGTGGGAGTCCAGCAACATAGCCATTACGCTAACTGCTGGTTCCCATTATTATTATTTTTATAGAGAGATTTTTTACTATAGGGTGCATGTGCTTGCTGGAGCAACAGAGGAAGATAGAAAGCAAGAAAGCACCCCCAGGGGTATGACCACGCTGCAATCCCCTCTTCTCCAATTTTCTTTGGGATGTTGGGCAAGCAAGCACAGGCACCCACTGTGAGTTTTAAGCCACCGGGTCTGGGACTCAAACCACGGAGTCCAGTGACATAACCATTATGCCATCTGCTGGTCCCTTATTGTTATTATTTTTAATTGCTTATTTTATTTTATTTTATTTTATTTATTATCATCATTATTATTTTTAAATAATTATTTATTTATTCATTTACATTTTTTGTTATTATTATTAATTTAACTAGAGCGAGACAGAGAGAAAGGGAAAGCAAGAAAGCAAGCTGCCAGGTCCAGGACTTGAACCACAGTCGGTCATGTGGTAGTACAGTGCCTTTAACCAGCACACCGCCTGCCAGCCCCCATCATTATTATTTTTAATTTGGCCAGAGAGAGACAGAGAGAGACAAAGAGAGAAAGGGAAAATGAGAAAACAAGCTGTCAGGTCCAGGACTAGAACCGTTGTCAGCCATGTGGGAATCCAGTGCCACAGACTGAACACACCACAGAGACAGAGAGAGAGGAAGTGAGAAAGCAAGCTGTTAGTTCCAGGACTTGAACTGCGGTCAGCCATGTGGGAGTCCAGCATCTTAACCACCACACTACCTGCTGGTCCAGAAGCCTTATCAATTAACTTGATACTGTTGCATTAAAATCTATTGGTTTGTCTTGCGCTTTGAGTGGATTTTTTGCCTGTACAGGATTTTTATAATATCCTGCATTGGTTATCTGGGAAATACTGGTTCATTAAGTTATGCCGCTCTTTCAAATGTTGGCATTTTTCATTGTACACTATCAAAAAAACAAAAACAAAAACTACTCTCACATTTGTTAGTATTAGCAATATCTTGACAAAAAAATCTATCAATCTCAGTCTCTCAAAATTCTAATTTTTGCTTGACAATTTGCATTTTATGACTGGCAACAAATAGATCAATTGTTTTCTTTGAAGTTTTACTTTGTTCTCTATTTTGGAGAGGTTTTTTTGTTTTTGTTTTTGTTTTTTGTTATAGGGCACGTGCGGTCGCCATAAAGACAGAGAGAGACAGAGAGACAGAAAGCAAGAAATCACCCCCCAGAGGGGATGGCCACACCACAATCCCTTCTCCTCCATTCTCCTCTTGGGATTCTGGGCACACACGCACACGTGCCCGGCGTGAGTTTAAGCCACCGGGTCCGTGACTCGAACCGCGGTCGACTACATAGGAGTCCAGCAACATAGCCATTACACTAATTGCTGGTCCCCACTTTGTTCACTTTTGAGAAAAAGTCTGTCAAATACCTAAGTTTGAATAACCATGGTTTTTCTGCATTTGTTCATTTATTAAAAACAGTGTTTCATGTAAACAGCAGTTAGTTAAACTTGCTAGTCAGGGTCCCGTGCGCTTCCCTGAGACAACATTATACTTTGGTGCTTCGTGCAAGTGCTTTTTAGGTATATCTCATTTCTCTGGGGGGCTCAAATCTGATAACATTAATTTTTCTGCCTCATCGAGAATATCCTTAAGGCAAATGGCTTTTTCTGAGAGCGTGTGGTGGTGCAAAAGGCAGGGATTCCCGATACAGTTTGGTGCCCGTGCTGAGGTCCATGCTGCCCAGCATTGCCTTTGGCGTTGCCTTTGTACCATCAGTGCGAAAGTCAACACAAAGAAGCAGGTATCGCCACAATACTATTCGAGAAATAATATCGACCCCATGCATCCCTGAAGCTGTCCTGGTAACCCTCAGGTGTCTCGGCTCACACTGGGAAACAAATTGCTGGTCTAGGCAATAATGTAGGTCATCAAGATGGGAAGATCAGTCACCCCTGCCTTTGCCATAGGACATGGTAAAACTATCCCCATTTAAATGAAAAATCTGACCAGTGATTGTCACTGAATTGGTTTTGCTCACTGCCGATCTGATTTTGGCCCCCTCCCCCAGTTGACGGTTGAGGAAATTGAGGCTCCAGAGACTGACGTACCTACCCATTCGCCAGTCTGGAACCCAGATCTGCAACAGGAGGGCCAGGGTTCTGTTCTGTAGGTTCCTATGGCCATATGGATGCTCACAGACTCCACCGCAAGCAAGCCAGGCCTTCTGCCCTGGTAGCACAAAGGACGCTTTAGGACTGAAGGAGCGCTCGCCTGTCTGAGGAGAGCACTTGCCTACCCTGCAGCACTGAAAATAATGCGAAAAGCACGCGCGCCTCTCCATCGTTCCACCCGCGGCCCAAGCATCGGTGGTCATGCCAGGCTCCCCCATGCAATGCATTCCTTTTATGCTTGTGGTTGATCCCACAGAAGAACTCTATGCAGCCACAGGAAAAGACAGAGCTTTCTGTACTGATGTATAAAGGTTGCTGAGGTATATCGTTCAATGGAGGAAGTGAGGTAGAGAAGTGTGGAAAGCTTCCTATCACTGGGGCAAGGAGAGAAGAGAAAAACACGGTTTTTTTCTTTCTTTCTATATTTTCCAATTTCTCCAGAAGAAGAAATTGGTAGCACTTGTTGCTTCTAGGAATTGAGGAGGTAGGCCGGAGGGAGGCTTTTCAATGGGTATCCTTTTGTACCTTTCCATGTTTGTCTGAACCCTAGTGACCACCTTAGCAAGGATTAGGAGAAAAACAAAAAACAGAAAGCTATTTCTCAAGCACACTGATTTAGTTCTCACAGGGACTTGGGCAGGTAGAAAAGAGAGCATTCATTTCTTCTTCCTCCTCCTCTTCCTCACTGAGGCAGCAGTGGTAACATCTACCATCTACTGAGCCTTTCTTACGTGCCAAGCAGTGTACACAGTGCTTTAAACAAGTGCCCTCCACAGCACCCTAAGAAAAATACTGAGAGTGTCCCCTTCTCCAGGTGGGAAGCTGTGCTGCATTGCTGCTCAGCAGCTTGTCCAGACTGTGGGGAAGCAAGGGGAGAAAATCGGAGGCCAGCACCTGCCTGAGCCCCACGTGTATGTCCTTGCTCACCTGCTGCGCCTTCAGGTTGGGTTTTTCTTCTCTCCACTCCACCTGCAGATAAGATCCTGGTCCACTGTGTCATGGGCCGCAGCCGGTCGGCGACCCTGGTCCTGGCCTACCTGATGATCCACAGGAATATGACCCTAGTGGATGCCATCCAACAAGTGGCCAAGAACCGCTGTGTCCTCCCCAACCGGGGCTTTCTGAAGCAGCTCCGTGAACTGGACAAGCAGCTGGTGCAGCAGCGGCGTGGGGCCCAGCGCCAGGACAGCGAGGAGGACAGCGAGGTGGGGCGGTAGGGCCCTTCACATGGAAAGGGAGAGGGGAAGGCTGGGAAGAACTGCGGCCCGGCACTTCTTTGCAACGAAGAAGGAACAGTGAAACCAGACTTCCGGGTATGTGCCAGGAATTAGGACTCAGAGCTGCCTCCTGGCTCCGCAGCAACACAGGGGAGGTGGGTCTTCCAGCAGAGCTGGCTACAGATGAGCCTGCCGTCTAATGTCATTTTAAAAATCATTTTCTTAAGCTGGAAACAGAAAAGGACTTAAAAATGTGTAAGCATTGCACTGTGATTAAATGCATGGCTTTGTCTGAAAGGAAAGTCATATTCTTACAAAAACTTTTTAAAATGTAAATTTCCAACCACACATAGTGCCTGCACAAGGTGAGTTTCAGGAATATTTTCAGTTTATTAGGGCATCCCATCCTGGGTCATCCACTTTTCTTTCCTTTTTCTTTTTGTTAAGAGAGATTTTGGCTATAAGGCACATGTGCTTGCTGGAGAGAGAGAGAAAGAGAGAGAGAGAAAGAGAGAGAGAGAGACTGAAAGCAAGAAATCACCCCCCTTCTCCATTCTCCTCTTGGGATTTTGGGCATGCACGCACACGTGCCCAGTGTGAGTTTCAAGCTGCTGGGGTTCTTGATGGAGGTAGGATAGAATCCAGGGACTTAGCAGCTGCATAATACCACCTAAGAGTCAGCCGGTGGCCTTTGGGAGCTACTCTGCTTTTTATTTCCTTTTGGAGCGGTTTTTTCTTAATGGGTGCATGTGCTCGCCAGAAAGACAGAGAGAGACAGAGAGATAGAAAGTGAGAAATCACCCCCAAGCGGGGATGGCCATGCCACCATCCCTTCTCCTCCGTTCTCCTCTCAGGATCTTGGGCACACATGCACGTGTGCTCGGCATGAGTTTAAGCCACCAGGTCCAGGACTCGAACTGTGGTCGACTACATGGGAGTTTGGCGACATAGCCATTATGCTAACTGCTGGTCCTGGAGCTACTCTGCTTTTGTGCCAGAGAAGAAGACTGTGGCCTGGCCTGGCTTCCTAGGATACCCAGGGCCTGCTCTGAGAGAATCACCTGAGCCTAGGATGAATCCAATCGTGTTAACATGTGCACAGAAGGGGATTCCCTAAGACTCTCTTGTCTTGAGTATTGGTCCTCTAATAAATTTAAAAACCTAAAACACTGCAAAGGGGCAGGAAAGGAAAACTGCAAGATTAAAAGGGAAATAGAATGTGCAGTGAATCGGTGTCTTGGTGCTGTGATTGAAATGGAGGAGATATGTTCCCTCTGAAATTGCAACGACACTAAACCGAACCGAGATCAGGCTGAATCAGCCACAGCTCATGTGGTTGTGTGGGAGAGAACACCATGATAGGGGCACAGTGACCAAGGACAGAGGAATCGCTAAGTGACTCAGATTTGGGCATGTGGGGAGCCGTGTGAAGGCCCTTGAGAAGACAACGCAGACCAGAAGGGACCGAAACATCATGAGATCCTGAGCACCTCCTCTGAACTCAGGTATCTCGTAGGTCTGGTCTAATCTATGTCCAGAGAGAAGGCAGTATTTATATTTTAATGGACTATTTACATTTAAGTGAACCCCTCCATGGGGAGGATGGACTGTCTCTAGGTCCACTGCTGCTGTTTTCCTAGGTGTCCTTTCTTCTTCCTTCATGCATCTCTGTGAGGCAGTGAGCCCCGCTGAGGGCAGCAGAAGCAGAGACCTTCAAAGCTGGGGTCCGTATACTTTAAGGTGACTCCTGGGAGACACAGGTAAGAGAAAGGAGGAATAAAGGTTTTGCAAAATTATTTCAAGTTTGCAGAAGTAAAATATTCTTTCAGTCAATAAGCCTTTATTAAGAACCTGCCAGGTGGGCCGCTAGGTGGCATAGTGGTTTAGGTGCTGGACTCCCACACGGTTCAAGTCGCAGACTGGGTGGCTTGAAAATCACAACAGGCATGTGTGTGTGCCCCAAATCCTGAGAGAATGGAGGGGAAGAGACTGTGGCATAGCTGTCCCCCCGGCTGGTGATTTTTCACTCTCTTTTTCTTGCTCTGTGTTTCTCTGCTCTCTCTGGTGAATGCACGTGCTCTGTGGGGAAAAAAGTTAAAAACAAAAATCAAAACTTGAAAAATGCCAAAAGCCAAGAATAAAAACAAAAATGCAGGTCATAACATAGTGCAACAAAGGAAATAATTACTAAGGTGGAAAACAATGGGGAAAGTGCAGAGAAACCCACATCAGATGGGGTGGTCCAGGAGGACCTCTCTGAGGAGACAGGTACACTTAAACTGGAAGGAGTACGCCCTCCAAAATCTAGAGGAACTGCCCTTCAGTGAGGCTGGAGCTTGTGGGTAAGAGGAGGGTGACAGGAAAAGTGTAAAGAGACTAGATTTTATTTCAAGAGGAAAGAACTGCTGAAGAATAAAGAATTAAGCAGGGGAATGTCCCAAGACCACTGGGGGGAAAAATCACTTTAGTCAAAATATGGAGAATGAGTGTGGGGACTTAAGGAAGGAGACAAGAAAATGAGTTAGGAGGCAGTTGGAATGCTTGACAGGATAGGGGAAGGTGGCCCAGGCTTACAGCAGCAGGGAATTAAAAGATTATTTTGGAATTATGCTGGAAAATGGATAGCACCTGCTGAGAGGGGAGGGCAAATGGAAGGCTACTGATCTGCTTTCATGGCGGTGACTTGATAAGGGATGGCGCTGACCAGGGCGGGAATGGGGGAGGGGCTGGAACTCAGTTGTTATGGAATGCCCGTACTTCATACAGAAGGTATCCCAGGCCACTGGATCTGGAATCTAGAGCTCAGAGGAATGTTCACAACAGGAGGTATAACTCTGAGAGTCATCTGTAGAGAAGTAAGATTTTGAAGTATTTCTGGCTGAGACAGTAAGAAAAAGGCTGTCCCAGGCCAGAATGGTGTAGAATATCGTCGATTAGAGCCAGGTTCGGGTAGAAGAGAAAGGGAATGGAAAAGGTAGAAGGAATTATGAAAGCCTGGGTATGAAGAAATGGGACAAGGCATTGCCCACTGTGTAATATAACAATACTTGTTCTTTGGGTATCTAAGACTGACTGCAGACCGGGGCTTACTTGCAACAACAAAAGAACCTATATTTATATGGCACTTAACAATTTTTCCAGCATCATGTATTCATTAGCTAAGCCTTTAAATCAAAGAGCTGACAAGTTATGGCCCTTTCACAGTGTTCTAGGGCAAAGCTGCAATTTGGAGAGATGTTGGGTTTGTTTCAGCTTACACGTTTTCGCTGGGTGGGTTTGAGCAATTACGTTAGCTTCTTTGAGGTTCAATCTCCTGATCTATAAATTGGAAACAACTGCCTCATTCCCCCACAGGTCACATGGGAGCACTGTTTGTGGAAGCTCTTGGTGGCAATATTGTGAGTTATTGCTAAACAGAATGCTGGCAAGGAAGGCTGATGCCTTCACACCTGGGTAGGTACCACTTAGGCTATCAAAGTGAGACCGAATAGGCTCCATGGAGGACTGCACTGCTTCAGAGAAGTCTAGATCTCCCACGGAGAGGCCAGTCTCTGGCCAGGTTAGCCTGAAACATACTAAGCTCATGCTCGAGTGCCCAGGATCCGACCAACTGGAAGACTAAGGGGGAGGGGGGTGTCAAAAAGTGACCACTCTGTTGGGGGTGCGCCTCTCTCTCACTCTCATGTGTACATGCTCTATCATGAATAAAGAAAAATAAATTTAACAGGTTGGCAACTGACAACCACTTGTTATAATTAAGTAAATGAAAACAGATCACTGGTTTTAAAAGATGGGGCTGGTTAATGAATCCCACCCTGATGGTGACTGTATTTTAGTTCTGATGAATTCAAGTTCCTGTGTTCCAGGATCCCTGGTGTCACACTCAGGTCTCAGCTGATTTCTCTATCGGGTGAGTGAGGACAGTGCAGGGTATTCTGAGGCCATCTCAGACCAACACTTTCTCTCCTTGGCTAACTGTGCTCTTCTGTTCTGCCAAGGGATGTTGGGGCTTGGGGCCAGAAAGGAGGCTCCCACACCTGGCTGGACCGCTGTCCCTGAGAGCCTGTGAAACACAGGTGTCCCTGTATTGTTCTTAAATTCTGGTCTGGAAGGGCTGGGGCCAGGACTCGGATTGGCCCACCAGCTCCCTAGATGACTGTGAGGCAGGCAGGGGGGTGTCGGGACAGCGGAGCCTGGACTTGATAGACCAGAGTGTGACCAGGGGGCTACTGCCAAAGCGGTCACAGAGGGGAATCTTAGCCCCCAAAGAACCTTACACAAGATAAAAGACATTATATGTGACAGTCTCAAGGTGGGGCCATGGGAGGCTGTGTAGCTCCCGGATCTGACAGATCGTTATCAGCTCCCCCTCCCATCCCAGGCTCAGCAGCAGCTCCCCTGAGGTGCGGCCACGGGGTTGTGTTCCTAGGCCAATACTGACTGCCGCAGTTAGTCACTTCCCACTCTATCCACACAGCACCGTAACCGTTCTCTTCTCCCTTTGCGACAGCCCTTGTAGAAGTATCTTCTTAGAAGCCCTCCCTCGGGGAAGCAATATCTGTAGGCGGATATTACCACGTTGACTTTGCATCTGTGGAAGGAACGGACTAAAAGATAAAATCTTGATACTAAACCTTTCTAACTGTGAAATAAAATAATGGTAAGGGCGAAAGCAGAAGGCAACATTTCACTCTCTGCACAGGGCCTCTCATTCTGGTGTGCATACCATCCTGCCTTCTCAGAGTTCCATCACGTCCACTGTAAGGCTGGTGTCTCTGTACACGCCTAATTATTATGTGTTGAACCAGCCGCAGAAATGCAACTGTTTTTTCTCTAAGAGGCATAAAAAGTAGTGACCTGCTTAGCAGGAGTTGTGAGCACTCATGTTTAGATATTTTGAGAGCTTAACGGGTCAGTTTCAAACAGGTGCCAAGTCAAGCATTCATTTCTAGACTCGTCACTTGAAAAATCAAATGTGTTAACATTCAGGCAGAACTTTCTCTGGCTGCCATAAAATAATGTTTGTGAACACTCACTTTTTTGGGGGAGGGGAGGGTCTAAACATCTGACTAAAGAAAA